TTTACTGTTAAATCTACGGACATTTTTTACAGTGTAGAGCATCTTTGGGATGTGGTGGAACGGGAGCTTCGTGCCCTGGAGGTGGATCATACAATTATACAGCAACTGCAAGATGCTATCCTATCAATATGGGCCAACATTTCTAAAGAATGCTTTCAGCACCTTGTTGAATCAATGCCAAGTAGAATTAAGGCAGTTCTGAAGGCGAAAGGGGGTCAAACACCGTATTAGTATGTTGTTCCTAATAATCCTTTAGGTGAGTGTATGTTGACTAACACCAAACTAAATAATTTCTTTATTATTATTATTATTATTATTATTATTATTATTATTATTCCAAGTTTGCCACACAAGAAACACAAGGAACATTTAAATAGGCAAATTGCATCTTATACACTGCATGATCGTGTCACATGTCTCTGCCATTTTATGGTGGCAGCCCTTGATGACAAAACCTGGTGCATACTGTATGCCCAGAATGAGATGATCCACTTCTCATTTCCCCGTTGTCCCTCCCACTTACCTTCTACATAAACAGCTTCCCTTTCCTCTCCAGAACAGGCCCCAGATGAGCTTGCTGTGGATCTTCCTGAATGTGTCTTCTCTTCTAATCCCAGCCTGACTTTCATCATTCTCTCTTTCTCCTTGGCCAGTACAGAATCTCCACCAGCCACAGCTAAGACAAACTCCACAGCCTCTTTTACAGAGCCAATGACTGGAAGAACGTCTATGAACCCAACCCACACCAGTTCCCGATTATCTGTGGACATTTTGTCAGGACTGGACATGCCACAGGTGGACATGGGGGTAGGCATGTGTTTAATACCTGTAGCCATGACACAAGTTCAGACTAGCTTGGATTAATGGGTGATCTGTAAGGAAGACAGACATGAGATTTCAAGTGTATGTGATAATGGACAGTGATGGACATCGACATTTTTAAATCAGATCTGGCAACCATTGGTCCAGATTTAATGGGTCACAAGAACATGATCCCATTAATAAGGTAAGTTAATGAAATGAAAGAGCCTGAACATAGCCCAAAGATACTTGATCAGAGTGGACACTTTTCCAGTTCCTTTCAACTGTTCATCACTGTTCAACAGTCTTTAAATTCGATTCAATCCAATTCAGTTAATTTTTATTTGTATAGCGCATTTTCACAACATTACATTGTCTCATAGCGCTTTAAAATGATCCCTGCCCAATAGCTGAATGTCTTCTAGACAAACCAATCTCAAATGTCTGTATTCTAGTCAATAAGGAATCTACATCAATTATGCTTTTACAACTTGTTTGCTTCCACAATTACAATGAGTTCCTTCTATCTTCATATCCCCTGCTTTAGAATTGCTTATAATATCCCTTAAAAATTTTAAGGTCCCCATGCATGGAATAAGATACCTATTTACATCAAAAATGCAGATTTGTGTCAAACGACATACAGGGAAATAGTACATTTAACATTTATTAATATTATCAAGCACCACCATATTTTTTCTGGAATTTTGCACAAACCTCTAAATGGCAACAGTTACTTATCGTGACATGTCACCCCCTAATGGACAAATCTTCATGTTACCTTTGTCTCTTTACATTTTCTGCTCTGCTATGTGTAGTTTCCTAGTGTTTGTCATATAGCCCCGGCTCTGCGTCGAATTTCCTGTCATAGTTATCAGTTCCACCTGTGTCTTGTTTTTCCAGTGGTTGACTATGTATAAAACCTGTTTCCCAGTGTCTTTGTCATGTATGTGTCTCCTGAGTGGTGGTTATCATTTCCCAGCTAGAGTTTAGCTCTAAGTTGAGTTCCTGAGTTGTTTGCATAAGTAATTTTGGGTCTGTTTTTTACCCAGTTCTTGGATCTCTTAGAGTTTGTTCTCTTTCATTAAAAGAACATCCTGCACTCACCTTGCGTCTCCAACTCACTGTTGATGACATAATGTATTTTCTGTCTTGCTTAAGTATTCTACTGAGCTCACTTCTCATTTTATCCATATTACTGGTTCCTGAAATGGAACATGGTCTATATATAAACCATGGTCTAAAATTAGTGCTAGATCAGCATGAATGCCTGTTATTATGAAATATTTACTGAAATTAATATTATATATTATTTCCATACTCAACGCAGACGTATGTTCCTTAAGTATAAAATCCAAGTTAATGGGCAGTATTTAAACCCAGTTTCAGGATCGACTCCGCCCAGGATACCAATAACCGCGGATGTTCAAGTCCGGTATGCAAAATGACGTGGCATTAGTATATATCCTACCGTATTACTTTTTATGCCTAAAACAATATAAATGCTATAAACACTTATTGGTTAGGAAATATAGACAAGACAAAATCTGCACATGTTCAGTACAGACGCATATAGTATACATGTCAGCAACAGCGTAACATTTTCTTTCAGCACTTACAAATAAATGTATACCTACATCAAAACATATAATATTCAAAATACAAGTCTCTGGAATTTCTATTCCTAATTCTTTCGATAGTCTAGATCTGTTGAAGCTAGGAATACGCACCGTACTGTTTGAAATAACTCAATCCATTCTATAATTGCACCATTACACATTATTTTAAAGGCCCTTATCTTGCAGTCCGGTCATGTCTATTAACCACACTTGTAATTATCTAATCCTTATAATGAATCCTTCAAATTGTTAATAATGAACCATTCCCGTTATGTTAGAGCAGCTGAAACCACTGTGCTGTTTATTGAACGGGAAAATGCCCATTCAATGGCCTTTGTGATTCCAAACTTTTGGTTGGTAGTGTATGTATGAATGTTTGTATGTATGTATATGTTTATAAGTAGGCTATGTACGTATCTTGTGTGCGTGGCTACTACATATTAAAAACAATCACGTCACTTAACACAAACAGAAATACAGGTACTTACTGTAAATTAATGCTGTTGATTACAGTCACAGTAATTAAATCTTTCAGCGAAGTGCGATGTTTGGCTGCCGAGACAGAATAATTATGTGAGGACTTTAGAGAAGATGGTGGTGCTTTTGCTTCATGAAAGGAGCAGTTGTTGAGAAACCTTCTTTTTTTCTGAAATCATGTGATCATTTTATGTGTCAGTTAAGGCAAACGTACAGCACTTGCAGTCTCCGGATTACGTCTTTATATGTTACTTTACAGGACTTAACATGGTGTATTTCCATGGTGTATCGTTTTGTGAATTTTGGAAAAGCAGTTTTTAAACAGCTCATAGTTGGCTGGTAAATATTTTCACTTATATAAAATGTCCATAACTTGCTCATGACAGAAAGCATCTCATTATACCTTCGCCCAGAGATACGTCACAAATACACTATTTGTGACGTGGTTGTTGCTTTAAAGCCGGAAGTCAGTCTGGCATCCCCGGTCAGTGCTGCTTAGGGGTTTGGAGATATTCTGGTCAGTCCCCTCAGCAGACCCGGCGTAGTACGCAAACTGATCGCACATTTCCGCAGCAATTCATGGTGACAGACACATTTCTTACTTTTCCGTAAGGTATGACAAACTGGAATATTACATGTCATTCGGATATCCCTGAGAATTCAATGGAAAACATAATGCGATTTGCTTAAAGAAAGGACTGCCCTGTGATTAGGTAAAAGCATGCCTCAAGCACTGCCGCGACATGAGGACTGAATGCAAGAGATTTATAGAAGAGACGGATATGTCCGGATGCGGCAGGACGCAACTAAAGGGACACAGATACACGGAGGCGCTGCTGCTTTTGTGATCTGATCACACTGATGGGTCATTTAACTGCCTCTCAGAACTCAGCCTGTTTCTCGGGGTCTTTACCGTGAAAGATGGTGCGATGGTGAACTAGCATGGAAAGGAAAAACCCTATTTACTATTTTTTAAAAAGACAAGTGCATATCCGAAGAGAGGACTGGCAAAGAGTGCATAGTCACGCTTTAGTTTGGGAGGATCGGAGCTGGACACTGGACAAAAGACAAACAACAGCATTAAAGTATGTCACGGTTGATATTTTTTCCGATTAAAACATTGCGTTTTTGTAGGTATGTGGAATGCTAAATTAATCTGAACATGAAGCACAATCGGTAATAATTCAAATTTAAACTGTTTTCGTAACACTACATACTCTGAAATTGTTTATTTGTTTGCTTTAAGCTTATTTAATATGGATAACTAAGTGATTGATGTGATGGGTGGCAGTATGATGTTAGTACACTACATTTTATTATGCTTAACCGCAAGTGAACAAGGTAAATCAAGCTCTCTAAAGAATGCAGATGTATTTGTTAGTGCAGAACATCTCCTAAGTTCATGCTGCTTTTGACAAGTTCCTCAGCAAATGGCTTCGTATTCGGACAGTGTTTTGCAAACATGTTCACTCTGCAAAGAGCTCTGTGGGTCCTCTGCTGTGGTCTCCTGCAGCTCGTCTACCTCATCCTCCTCTTCCCAGACATCTGGCTCCTCTACCTCCTCTGTCAGAAGGCTGCATGTTCTGCCCTGCTTTCACTCCTACTGCAGCCAGTGCCTGGAAGGACAGTGCGACAGCAGCGATCCTCTTAAGCTCTCCTGCCCAGCGTGTGACCAGAAGGCCCCAGTCTCCGATTCGGATGTGGATGCCCTACCATCACCGAGTTTCCTCTTCAGAAACCTGCTGGAGGCGATAGTCTCCTCTGAGGAGCCGAGGAGCATGAGCCGCAGGAACGATGGCCAACCTCAGGGTGGCGAGCTTAGGGCTCATGGCCTAGATGAGCCCCAGTGCCTTTCCTGCGACGAGGGCAACCCTGCAGCCTCGCGCTGCCTGGACTGCCAGGAGTACCTCTGCAGCAACTGTGTCCGGGCCCATCAGCGGGTCCGCTTGACCAAAGACCACTTCATGGAGAGGCTGGTGGAGAGCTTATGCCTGGCCCACCAGAATAATAATTCCAGCACCCCAGTCAATGTGTCGCACTCCTTTCACCCAAAATACCCACCACCACCTGCTTTCCAGGACAGGATGAGCTTCTGCCAGGACCATGACAATGAGGTGAGTACAGTTCAGGTTCCTGCATCATGATGAGGTGAGTACAGTTCAGGTTCCTGCATCATGATGAGGTGAGTACAGTTCAGGTTCCTGCATCATGATGAGTTGAGTAGAGTTGGGGTTATACCTACTGCAATTTTTTAGCAATGACCTTACAGGTCTGTATGTGTTAAACAAGCAAGGAATTTAACGTGGATGTAACTAACGTGTTTTAAAAGAGAATGACAGTTTCAGTCCTGCCTGTAGTTGTATTGACAGGTCTTTGTTCACTACACAAACCAGCTAATTCAGGTTTCATTCATAGGCACAGTTTCCTGTTATAAAAATGTATCAGAACAATGAAGCAGTCTTTCTCAAGGTCTTTTGCACTTGTGATGAGCAATGGTTTTTCTTTCGTTGCCTATAACAACTTTGTATTATTTTGTCCGTAACATCGTTATAAATACTGATTGATTTTCATTGCTCTTGTTCGGACACACTTAGTATACCGCTGTAAGTGACACTTTGAAGTATCGTGCATATCATGCCAGCTGCGTTCAGAGATGAGTGGCTGGGTGTCATAGTGACGCCCGGCCCGTGTTGAACCGCGACGCCAGGGTGTGGCCTGTTCCCCATCAACGTGACCCCTCATAGGTCACTGCTGGTGGCTCTGGTTGGGAATGCGTCCAGCAGGATGGTTTGAGACGGCCATTGAACATGGTTCCTGTGATCAATCGGTGTACTGAACATGATAAAACGGCTCGGATACAGAGCATCACTGTGTATATCAACAGTGAGTGTGTGGGACTCCTTTACCAGCACAGCTTGTGTCTGAGCCTTTATCAATGTTCCTGAAGCCAGGGGTCTCATGCAGCATGGTGGGAGGGGGGGGGGTTCTTAGCACACACCATATTCCTTCTACACGGTAACAACAGGAAGTCTCCATGCAGATGGCAGGATCTATGGAATACCGGCACATCAGCTTCAGATGGTGGCACGGGGGGGGGGGGCACACGAGTGGGATCCCCATGTGCTGCCCGTACCCTCCTCCCATTAGATTCGGCCCCCTGCCAGGTGCCAAATATCAGCTTGACCAAAGGGGCTCGTTTAAAGCAGCCCTCTTAAACCTGGAATGCGTGCTTAGGAGATCTGCTTCAGAAGCTCAGTAACTTAACATTCCCATTACGGCAGGAGGGAAGGAAATCCTTGGGGTGAAAGGTCAGGCAATAGCGGGGGCAGCACGCAGATCTGGGGGCCTAAATCAGTCACTTCACGCCCCGGCCTTTAATAACCTGCATGGACCTAATGGAGCCAAACTGCAGCCATCCTGTCTCTGCGGAAATCTGGGATTTAGTCCCAAGTGGAGTGGGGTGGGTGGGGTGGATGGGGGGGGGGGGGGGGGGGGGGGGGGGGGGGGGGGGTTCGTCGTCGGTGGATTTACATGATGCAAGCCCTCCTTTGAGCTGGAAAGCTATTATGGCTTAACGAGATACCAGTTAGCTGCGCTACTGATGATTCGATATGGCAAAGTATCCGCCAGGTTTTAACGGCTGGTCTCCTCTGTAATGGCCGGGGGAGGAGAGTGTGCAAAGCTACTGAAAGACAAGAATTAAAGCAGAAAAATACCACAAACATGGATATATTTTGTCTTTCATCTGAACCCCAAGTCTGTAATAAAAGTTTGAATGAATGAACTTAAAGTATATAAAATAGATAGAAATCTAGCATTGCTGTGGTGTGTGTGTGTGTGTGTGTGTGTGTGTGTGTGTGTGTGTGTGTGTGTGTGTGTGTTGTGGTAAAACCTGTTACTTTTTAGCTTGTGGGGACATTTTTCAATAGCCTGAAAACTAGCATTGCCACAGGTCAGTGTACCACTCAGTGTTGTGTGTGTGTGTGTGTGTGTGTGTGTGTGTGTGTGTGTATATGGTTGAACCTGTTGCTTTTTAATTTGCTCGGACATTTTTCAAGTTCCTGCAAAATGTGAATTCAATCAAAAAACTAAAAGTGCCAAATGTCCTGTATTTTGTTTGGTTGCTTATGGTTACGGATAGGGCTGGGTCGGGGTTAAGGTTGTCATTGTTGGGATTATGCCCACAGAAATGGATGAATGGAGAGTCCCCACAATGATATAGATGCCTAATCTGTGTGTGTGTGTGTGCATGCGTGCTTGTCAGCTGTCTAACTCTGAAGATGGAGGTTCCGGCTTTCACAGACTGAATGCGCAGCATCTGCTCCAGCTTTGAGTCTGGGCTGACCAGCACTGTCCCATCACCTCTGCACAGTGGGTGATTTTTTTATGGCACTATCAGAGGAGCACCTAGAGAAGTATTTTATTGTGCGGTTTTTAGCTCCTCGTTTACTCCAGGCCCCGATACTCACCTTAAATAAGCAGGTACCCATGGTGCCCCCTCCCAGGCAGAATCCTCAAGGAAGTGCGGGGGGGGGGGTGGCTTTCAGTCAGGCTTGGATACGTTGAGGGGTATAGCTATGGTGTTGAAAGTGATGCAGGATGTGGACGGGCCTTTCTGACTTGCAGACCCATTACATCTATGAACACTATTCTTGGGACGACTGGTGTTTAAATTTAGACTTTCCGGCTTTCAGCAGCAGGTTTTAGATTGGATCATACCATCCCAGATGAGACAATGTTACAGCTTTCCTCTGCGGATAAATACCCGATTCTTGCAGGAAATGATTCCCCCCTTGGAGTATGTTGACGTTCCTTTCATTACCCACTTAGTCACTGGAGTTTCTCTCGCTTGGCTTTCCCTCAAACTTTATCTCAAACCCGAGTCACAGGGTGACACAGCTGTCTGGTACATCAGCAAGGGTTCAGAACTTCAAAGGCTGCTGGAACAAAGGCGAAATAGTCTCCTTTGTAAAGACCATACGTTGTTATAAAGTACAAAATGACAACCAATGTGATTCTTGGCATTTGGTGAACTGGCCGTCAAACCTTCTTTGTCTAACAATAGATATTCTTTTCATGAAGGGTTATCTCCCAGACATCAGAGAGCGTAATCAGTCCATCAGATAAGCTGGAGGCAATTAGCCGAAATGTATGTCATGCAGTTTTAGATTCTGACAGTACATCTTATAAGCATTGTGAAGTGAGGTTCCACTGAAATGACGCACTTCACATCTATTCTTAGACTTGGGGTGTTTGTCAATACCAAGAACATGAAGATCATACTTATGGTCTTGGCAAGAATCATGGGATTGGTCTCGTTGCAACTGATGTATCCTTGATATTTGGGGCGTAGCAAGAACGACATCCAGAAATTTTTACTGTCCACTGTATTTCTGTTCTTGACTGTTGGAACTGGTCTTCGGCAATGGAACACAAGCATGGTGAAGTATACATATTGAGAAACACCCTTGACTTCACCCTAGGAGGATTTGGGCAATTTTTTCCCACATTTTTTCCCACTCGTCCTATTTCACATTCACCTTGGGTACATCAGAGCCGAACAGCACTCCTGCGTACTTGAGGGGGTAGCGTGAGCGACTGTAGCAGATGAGGGGGCACCGTCAGCACAGGGACAGATACGAAACACCAAGGCAACATGCAGCATCTTAAATCATGTAACATGACTTCCCTCTGGTGTACTATCAAAGCAGCTCTTTTTTTTTGGGATAGGGTACAGAGCAGCGCTGAACAGGGTTCCCATGTTGAGGTTTGGGAACAGTTAGTGGGGGGACTCTGTCACCATTCTGGATCCACTGGGCCTATGTATGGCTCAGAATGTTCTGGAAACCCATCACACATGGCGCTCTATGGGCCCCAGCTGACTGCTCCTAACGGGGTTCCCGCTAGCGGACACGTTCTCAGCGGACGTTCTCGGACTCCAGAGCAGCCCGAGTGTACATGTGGTTTCCAGACCACCGCTGTTCCCTCCCTGTCAGACGAGTAGAAAGCATTCTTGGCCGCTGATTTGTGGATCTCCTGCCTCATTAATGTCACGCTTAGGTAGACCAATTATGGACCTGCAGATAGATTTGTGTCCTTGGGAGCTGTAACCCTGAGGTCGCCCTCAAGCAGACTGTCATTTGGCTGGCATTGGCAACATTTCAGCTTAAGTTAAATACATTTCTACTAATCTATTTGATAGTTACATGAAGAAGAATAATAGATTCTTAGCTGACGGTCCATGTTTTACTCAAAGCCAAAGATGTCAAGACTGCGAATGATTGCTTCCATGTTTTAAAAGACAAGTTAATTGCGCGTGTAGGTCTGCCGCGTGCAGTGTACCTTACTGTCACACTGCTTTAACCGCTAATTAATAATCAGGCCATCGGGGGGCGCCAGTGTTCCTGCTCCACTTCTCCCTGTCTATAGAATCCTCAGGTAAGGCCTGAACAAAGACCCTGACTAGAAAGTGTTTTCGGAAAGAGCTCCATTCCTCCCTATCATGCTCTCATTACCCCTGATAATGCAGGGGAGTGGGTTACTGAAATCCTATAGGGAGCAAGGGTTCACCATATGACTAGTAAAACAATACATTTTACAACATGGCTTCTATTTAAGAAACCCAATCCTTAGACACCTGTTAAGACACTTTAACTTGAGTTTGTCTGGTGAAGGGGGGGGAGGCGGAGGGCTTTCTGCTGATCAATGGCGATCCAGAGCTGAGCCGGAGAGAGAGAGAGAGAACGGCACCGTGAATGATTCATGTCGGGAGCAAAAAGATATTTGGCGTCCTGCAACTGAAAACTTAACCTTGCAGCCTTGCAGTGATGGGAATAAACTCAGCCTGAAAGCTGCTGTCAGTTTACTTAGTGAGACTTTTGGGACCCTGAGAGAGAATTATGTAGCCGGTCATTCCATCTGTCACATGCGCATCCGTGTCTCCATGGCATGCGGTTGGAGACCGAACCAACCCGCACTGGACCTGCGGTAGCTTTCAGTGTTCCAGAAGAAACCCTACCCCGGCTAGTTCCCCACGGAGACTGCGCATTGGCAGTCAGAATTTCCTTTACTGCTGGAATCTTTCCATACACCTTTTGTGCATTAGCTTTGATATCTACTCAAAATGCAAAACATCGATAGATTATTGTATATTACTTTTGAATTGATATGTAATTGTTATTTTATATAGGTGTGCAACATGAAGTATGCTTTATCTCTTAGATTAAGCCAGCTTGGTTTCTAAATCAGAGCATTGATTCTCGTAATCTGCCAAAAGCATGGTGAGGGGATTTATCATTGAGGCAATAGTACTGTTAGCTCTCTGTCAGTGAGAAACAGACATCTGCTTTAACTCAGGCATCACCCTGTGATGTTTTGTCTGTTAACTGCTTACCCCACAATGCAATTCACATTCCTCACTTTTGTTCCTGGCAGAGACCATTGAAATATCTGGGGGGCTGCACACTGGAGGGTGTTTCAGCCCACGTCTTTGTCATTAGATTGAATGAGAAACGTTTGGGTGGGAAAAAAGCCATTTATTTCACTCGGCTTGTTTTCCTTGCATACGTGATCAAGAGCATCGGTCACATGTTTGCGTGAGAAGATGCCGTCTGGAAAAGCTTTGTCGTGCTTTGTGTGTAATGGGTTTGATGTTCGGTTTGGGGACTGACAAACTGCGTCGTCATTCGTACCCCGTAAATATACAACATCTCTGCATCGGCTGGCAGAAAAATCTGAAAACCGCTGACCGCTAAAAACTTTTTTTCCTTCCATGTTTTAGAAGACGCAGATTGCTGTGAATGTGTAGGATGGTCGTTAGGGTGGGATTTGATCAAAGTCTTGTTGACCAGTTTATTTCTTCTGTTTGAAATGATTCTTTTATCTGAAGAAACATTAAATTGTACCCCTAATAAACACTTTAAACCTAACCTATATGCTAATGCTAAGCCTAACCTATATGCTAATGCTAAGCCTAACCTATATGCTAATGCTACTGTAAGGCTAATCCCAACGCTAACACCAAACCTGACCCTTTGCTAACCCCACAGGTGCTGTGCCTTTTCTGTACCACATGCTCCCTGCCCATCTGCCAAGCGTGCGGTGCAGGTCGCCATGGAGACCACCACCTCATCTACCTCCACGACGCCATGAGGGACTGGCGAGCCGTGACAGTGCAGCTCCTGGCAGACGCCCAGCAGGGCAGGCGGGCTGTACAGGTGAGGCTCCTGCACTCAAATCCTGAACCCACGTCTGTCACAGAGCATTACACTTACTGCTATTGCTTGTTTTTCAGCTACTCGCAAAACCATGTCATAATAACCACATTTGTAACTGGCCTCTCTAAATTTCCAGTGCTGTATGATTGTGTCTGTTGCGGCATCCATTTTTTTAAAGCAATTTTTTAAGCGTTGAGCATGTCCAGTATATATGGATTTGATTGTGTGTGAGGAGAACTGAGTAACCAGGACCCCCCCCTGCCACCCCCCAGCCTTGATAAACCAGAATGATGCACCCCAAAGTTATACGGCGCTAAGGCGATTCCTAATGGCTCTGGTTGACAAGCCCCTGCCCCACCCAGGCCCACCCCAGCCCCTGCCCCCAGCCCAGCCCCCACCCAGGCCCACCCCAGCCCCTGCCCCCAGCCCAGCCCCCACCCAGGCCCACCCCAGCCCCTGCCCCCAGCCCAGCCCCCACCCAGGCCCACCCCAGCCCCTGCCCCCAGCCCAGCCCCCACCCAGGCCCACCCCAGCCCCTGCCCCCAGCCCAGCCCCCACCCAGGCCCACCCCAGCCCCTGCCCCCAGCCCAGCCCCCACCCAGGCCCACCCCAGCCCCTGCCCCCAGCCCAGCCCCCACCCAGGCCCACCCCAGCCCCTCCCCCACCTCTTTTTTCCAGCTCAAATATGACCCGGCATGAACTTGCTTGAACATGGATAACAGGCACCCAACTGCTAAGTGATGGCAGTGGATTCGGGGGTGAATTGGGGTGTGAGGCCATGTGTGGGTGGGTGTGTGTATGGGAGGGGCGTGTGAGTGTGGGGGAGGGGACCCTGTCCTCACACCTGAAATGGATATATTGAAAATTATCGCTGCTATTTCATTGTAGGTATTACAAATATTAAACAATTAAAATCAGCTACTTTAACAAACAGGGACTGTCAGAGGCTCAGTGGGAGCCTGTGATTGGAAGATTGCCACTCCAGGGGTGCGGCATGTTAGCTGACCCAGTGCTGTGGCCCCCAAGCTATGGAGAGCTATATGGAGAAGGCAAAGAGAAGAATTCCAGTGTACCTGTACTTGTGCAAATGGCAAATAAAAGAATTTATCATTTATCAAATTAAATGTTTATGCTGAAGTTGGCATCTTTGTTCATTCGAAAGAGGCCACTGGTTTTGTGTTCGGTAGTTGTACTGGCTGAAATAAGTAATCACAACTGAGCTAGGAAGAACCTGGTGAGAATAAACCAACTCATGGCAGATGTTTGTAGGTGATTCTCATCAAAGTTGTCCTGGTAGCCAGATTAAGGCTCTCCAGTGGAGCTGTTGTCCGAACTGCATATATCCATGAGAGAGCGCAGATAACAGTGTAACATTGCAGGTATTTGCGGGATACTGAAGGTGTGTTTAGCAGAAACTGGTGGTGTCTGCAGCAGGATACTGCGGGTGTCTGTGGCAGGTGTCTGCAGCAGGATACTGCGGGTGTCTGTGGCAGGTGTCTGCAGCAGGATACTGCGGGTGTCTGTGGCAGGTGTCTGCAGGATGCTGTTGGTGTCTGCAGTGGGTATTTGCAGGGTGATACTGCGGGTGTCTGTGGCAGGTGTCTGCAGGATGCTGGTGGTGTCTGCAGTGGGTATTTGCAGGGTGATACTGCGGGTGTCTATGGTGGGTGTCTGGGGGATACTGCGGGTGTCTGCATCATGTGTCTAGGATATTGCAGGTGTCTGCAGTGGGTGTCTGTAGAGTAATACTGCGGGTGTCTGCAGTGGGTGTCTGTAGAGTAATACTGCGGGTGTCTGCAGTGGGTGTCTGTAGAGTAATACTGCGGGTGTCTGCAGCTTGTATCTGTAGAGTAATACTGCGGGTGTCTGCAGCGGGTGTCTGTGGGGAAATAGTGCGGGTGTCTGCATGCCCATGTGCCTGTCCGTCTGTGTGTCTGCAGCTGAGCATCGAGAAGGCCCAGGCCATCGCGGAGCAGCTGGACATAAAGGCCAAAGTGGTCCAGGCCGAAGTGAAAACCATCACCCTGCAGCACAAGAAGGCGTTGGAGGAGAGAGAGTGTGAGCTGCTGTGGAAGGTGGGTGTCCACTGGGCTGAGCCACAGGGGGCTCCACACTGTCAAAGCGTTGGAATGATGGATGGGTCGTTGGAGGCCACAGTCACATTCTGTCCTGCAGCAGTTAAAATGCTCCTCCAGTTTGTACTGATGCATCTTTTTTGCAGGTGGAGAAGATCCGGCAAGTCAAGGTGAACACACTGTACCTGCAGGTGGAGAAGCTGCATCAGAAGCTGAGCAGGCTGGACAGTAGCATCTCAGCAGTGCAGCAGGCTGTGGAGCAGGACCGCGGCCTGGAAGCCCTGCTGGCCCGCCAGTGCATGCTGGCACAGATCGAGGAGCTGAATGCCCTGTGCGGCAGTGGCCTGCAGCCCCAGGAGGATCAGAGCATCATGTTCACGCCGCCTGACCAGAAGCTGCTCGTCTCCATCCGGTCCATGGGCTTTGTCAGCAGGGGGGCCTTTGGCCCCGTCTCCAAAGCCATAGGAGACGGTCTGAAGAGGGCCCTCAAGGGCAAGGTGACATCTGTCAATGTGGTGGCCTACGACCACGACAGCGAGCCTAGAAGGTCAGGCGGGGACGACATCGCCGCCCTGCTGGTGGGCCCAGACGGGAAGATCTTCACTGCAGAGGTGACCGACCACGAGAATGGCACCTACACGGTGAGCTACGTACCCAGGCTGGAAGGGGACCACCTCCTCTCCGTGCTCGTCTACCACCAGCACATCTCCAGCAGTCCCTTTCAAGTCAAGGTCAGATCTGGCCGCAGCTACAGGAGCATGGGGATTCCTGTCGGCTCCTTTGGGGGGGAGGGCGATGGCGACGGCCAGCTGTGCCGACCTTGGGGCATCTGCGTGGATAAGGAGGGCTACGTTGTGGTGGCTGATCGCAGCAACAACCGCATCCAGATCTTCAAGCCCAGCGGTGCTTTCCATCACAAGTTTGGCACGTTGGGCTCATGGCCGGGTCAGTTCGACAGGCCAGCTGGGGTGGCCTGCGACAGCCAGAGGAGGGTAATCGTGGCAGATAAAGATAACCACCGTATTCAGATATTCACCTTCGACGGGCAGTTCCTCCTGAAGTTCGGAGAGAGGGGAGTCAAGAACGGCCAGTTCAGCTACCCGTGGGACGTCGCTGTTAATTCGGAAGGCAAGATCTTAGTCTCTGATACCCGCAACCACCGCATCCAGCTCTTTGGGCCCGATGGGGCGTTCTTGAACAAGTACGGCTTTGAGGCTGTCCTCTGGAAGCACTTTGATTCACCCAGAGGTGTTGCCTTCAACCACGAGGGTCACCTAGTGGTCACAGACTTTAACAACCATCGGCTGCTGGTCATCCAGCCGGATTGCCAGTCGGCACGTTTTCTGGGCTCAGAGGGGTTGGGTGATGGGCAGTTCTTTCGGCCACAGGGGGTCGCCGTGGACCAGGATAACCGAATTATCGTGGCCGATTCACGAAACCATCGCATCCAGGTGTTTGAGGCTAATGGTAGCTTCTTATGCAAGTTTGGGAGTCATGGAGATGGCTTCGGGCAAATGGACCGGCCATCTGGAATAGCCGTTACGCCCGATGGAATTATTGTTGTGGTTGACTTTGGGAATAACCGAATCCTCATGTTTTAAACCACATTTTCAGTCAAAATATGAAAAAAAACAGGGGAACGGAAAGGCTAGGTTCAGAGAAAATTGAGTTTTAAAGTCCTCATTAAGGACAGCAAACGGAAAAACAAGTAGAATAAACATAGCAAAACCAAAAATGCTCCACCTGTGGAGCCTTCACCCACGCCTCATCCTGATCTCCTCTGAAGCTCCTCCCAGATCTCAACCTGTAAGACCCCAATACCACAGGTGATTGGTCAGCTGGAATGACATGTGATCATCTGCATCTCCTGACAGTCACCCCAGCTGAAACAAATCTCAATATTCTTGAGCCAGAAATCAACCGAATCTTTAAAAGATTAGTAGTAATGAAAGTAATTTTTTATGGTATACATCAATGGAAGGATGTTTTGATTAGGGGAGTTTCCTACGATTTGAGAAATTATTATATATTCATAAATGTTTGTTAGGGGTAAATGAAGATTCAGAATTTAACTCCGTATTTCTGAAAAAGAACGTCTTGGGGTACTTTCCACATGCAGGACTGATTTGCCATCAAAGTGTTTCCTAAACATAATTTTGCAAAATTTCTCAGGGAGAACCTTCAGGACTTTTGATTTCTGTACGATGCCTACCTCACCCCGCCCACTTATGAATGTATTTCCGTTGTCATGAAGGCGTGTCAAGATGGCTTATAGGGAAGGACAAGAATTCTACCTCAGTGTTTTCCCATATCAAAATAAAAGTTTGGTTGATATTTGCACAGCTCACAATGGTAGACTGAACTGTTACTGTAAATTGTAGTTTAAAGCAGCTAAATCCTTGCTGAAAGGATTCAAGGATTCAAAAAGTTTACTTCATATATAGTATTCATATACTACAACAATAGGTTATATAAGGAAAGAACACAGATATTGAATGGTCTTTGTCCTTAAACTGGCTTTATGGCTCTGCAAACCAGGACGAAAATGGGAAACTTGTACTGAATGTACAAAATGAAGGCTGTTTGTCTTAAAATGTTATTTAATAATTGATTTTTTATCTTCTACTTGGAGTGGATTGTTATACTTTGCCATTTAAATATAATGATGTCTGTATCACTGTGGTTGGCTTACTAATGTGTGGTTAAACTGCGGCTCAGTGAATTTGGGAAATGTCATGTAGAAGCACTCAGGTCAATGGTCAAGCATTTTAAAACTTTAAAACCAATCTGCTATAACTGCAAAGGTTATATTTATTGATATTTAATATAATACAGAGCTAAATTCTGAGAGAAAAAAAGGTCTTGCTCAAAAACCAAAGTTGAAAAGTATATGTTGGGAGCAGTCATTTAGAAGGCTAATCTCCTATCCCCCAGCCCCCCCCCCCTAATTTTTATGGTAGGAAAAGCTTTGTTCTAGGGCCAGGTTTCAAATGGGAAGGTCAATGGGCCTGTAATGGCCATAAACTGTGCTTTCATTCCGTTTTGAAGTACCTCGATTTCACAGGAAGAAAACTGTCTTTTGTTTGCTTTGCTTTTTTAGGATTTATAACTTAAATACATATTTATTATTAATTAGCATTAATATCAGTTTCGTATTTTGTAAAGAGATGTGTATGACACCTTTAAGGGACCCCACAATGAGCGCGCACACTTACGCGTGCACACACACACACACAAACACACACACACACCCCCTCTGTGCTCAGGGCCAGTTAATCCAGTTAATACTTTATTGTATACTTCATGCACCAAAGGTTTGAGAGCAACAAACTCAGCCATTTACAAATGTCTGGATTTTCTCGGGGGGAGGGCTTATCTACCCTCTATTGGAACAAGACTGTGAGCTTTAATGTCATGTAATTTATCAGTTGCTGGGTTGTGCAGTCACTCCCCAGGGCTGGGGGCCTGATTCCCATCCCCATTCTGCATGTTGAGTTTGTAGGTTCTCCCTGTCAGACAAGTTTCGTAACATTTAAAAACATTCTGTCAGATGGACTGGCATCTCTGTACTGTATGTGAGGGTCTATGGCATTTGCCCCCTGACTGATATATATATAATCCCAGCAGTTAAAAAATGAATGAAGGGATCATTTTGTCCAGTGTCATGGGCAAGTTTGTCTTTGTTTAACAATGTATGGTTTCTTAGATTGGATTATTTTGAGAATTAATCTTAATACCAATCATCCATGGCATATTTTATGTGATATGGGCCAGTAACTAGGCTATATAGTATTCCGGCCACAGGAATACTGTCAGCTACAGTGACATCACAGGAATACTGTCAGCTACAGTGACATCACAGGAACATCTTTCCCAAAAACACCCAATGCGCAGATGCCAACTCCAGTGGAATTGGTTCCTGCTCTACACTCAATGATGTGGCAAGAGTAATTCTGTCGGAGAATCTACTGTTGCCTATTTCAAAACCGACAATTTATATAAAAGCATGATATAGGAAGTCATGGCAGCCAGTTTGCAAAACTAGAACTCTCTTGTGTCTTAATCTGTAGTGTAGTTTGCGCCTTTTGGTAACCATAGCAACAGCAAGCATAGTTGTATGCAATAAACCAAAATGTAATGTGAGAAGATAGACTCAGGTGCCAAAGAGAAGCAAAAAAACGTCTGAATGATGGGACTCAGATGTGGCGGAGTATCATGGTCTGTTTTTTTTTTTTTGTTCAGGTCTTCATCTTAATCCTCACATAGCCAGTCATATGCGTCTTTCTGAACTGAAAGACTCTCATCTTCATTACCTAATTTTTGTACAATAAATCATTTTATCTTCACGGAATAACTGTGGAAATGGGAGGCCAGCATTTGGGCAGTTGACAGCAACTGCGCTCAGGTTTAGTGACTGGAAAGAGCTTTCATTTAACATTAACAGTAATTTAATAATTTTATGTTTACATATTTAGCAGGAGATTGTGAGTTTTATATTTTTAAATATATACTTCTGAAAACAGTGTTATTACACCCCAACAGTAAATATAACACATGTACATTTGTCTAAATTAATTTAAATATTAAAGTCTGAAGACCTAATCTCTGTCAGCTACATTTGACAATACTTTGATATTTAATGGCCATTTAAAAGGCCAGTACCTTCCCAAGCAATTAAAACAAATTATTACTGCACCTTTTTGCAAATATATGGTGTTCGGCCTCAGTGAGGAATCAGAGAAAGTGTGTGTCATCTTCCCTGACCTCGGGTGCGCAAAGTTCCTCACTGTTTTTTGTGTATATCACAATCAGTCAAACACGACTCCTGACCGATGAATAAATGCCTTAATTTCTTGTCTTTCAAATATTCAAGATTATGTTTGATATTACTTTTGTATAAAATTTAAGTCAAAGGAAAAAAATTAAACAAGGATTACAGAATTGTGGTATATCTGTCTGAAGAAGGAAAAGAAACACGTTAACAAACTCTACACCGTGAAATTTGGGACGTTAACTGAAAATTAAAATGTTTGCATTGTGATGAAGTTATTTTTGTGCGTATATTGCAGTTAAATGACTGATCATTTTTTTTGTATACATTTTCTGTTTCAGCCATTCATTCAAATTAAGTAAAGTGAAAATGGCCAAATATGATCATTAAAAAAAATGTTTTTTTTTGACTGGGTCTTTGGATTTTGTTGGATTTTGCAGCTACCAAATGGTCAAAGATTGCTCTTAGAAATCACACAGATAAAAAAAAGTGTATTTTAAAGTATATTCTGTTGTTTATAATAATGCCAGATGCTTTTAAACTAAATTCTTGTTGCTAAACCCATTATTAAACACATCTTTTGGCCATACTGGTCTATGTCCTTTACCACAAAACCACCAGCTGAGAGCATAAACTTTCCATGAGGTTCTCAAAGCTTCCCTGAGATGTTCTGCATTACGTCGGCAGCTGGGGGCCACATCTGTCTAAACTGGCTCTGAGGAGATGGTTAAACATTTTAGTTTCTTGCAGTTTTCTTGCTGTTGTGTGACTGTTTCTAGTCTTTCTTTACATTTCAATTAAAATTAATGTCATTGATGCATTATGCAGTTTCAATGTCTATTCTGTGATTACTTAAATGTCACGGCAATCTTGTAATTTTATGAAACACAAATCTACATTCAGGGTACAAAATGTGTACCTGTGACTGCCACAAAAGTTTGACAAGTACAATCCTCATTTTATAATTATGAATCACAATTTACCAGTTTACAATGTTCAAGTTGCAATTATGAATCACAGTTTATGCATTTGAAACTTCAGTACTACGTTGATGAATCACAACTTCACCAGACTCGCTCATCCATGTCCTTATGGACCTTGCTTTGTGCACTGGTGCGCAGTCATGTTTGAACAGGAAGGGGCCATCCCCAAACTGTCCCCACAAAGCTGGGAACATAAGATTGTCCAAAATGGCTGTGAATGCTGCAGCATTAAGAGTTCCTTTTACTGGAACTAAAGGACCAAGCCCAACCCCTGAAAAACAACCCTACACCATAATCCCCCCTCCTACAAACTTTACACATGGCAAAATGCAGTTTGATTTTATACACCTGTGGCTATGGAAGTGATTGGAACACCTGAATTCAATGATTTGGAGGGGTGTCCCAATACTTTTGGCAATATAGTGTACATTTTACTTCATCTTCCTCCACTTTCAGCTCAGCGCCCTCTCTTCTCTGGAGTTCTCCATTTGGCTTATGCTCATCAGAACTTAATGACAGTGAGATGTTTCATTAAGACCCATTGTCCACTGGCAATGTAACTTTTCTCACATAACTAGTATGTAGTGCTCAAGTTGTAAATTCGTAATCGCATCCTGAATATCAATTTATAAATTAGGATCTGTAAATGTAATATGAGGATTGCGCTCCTGAAACTTAAGCGGTAGGCAGAGGCACACATTTGCAACTCTGAATATGGATTTGCGTTTCATAAAATTACGACATCATTGTGACATTAACGTACGATTACTTTAGACATAAATCTGTCTCCATATAGTGAATGCACTTTTCAACCATGGCACCCATATCTTTATGGGTTATTTCTGAGCGTTACACTGGGCTAGAAACAAAAAGTACGACTTCACAGCGATAAGCATTATTCTGTTGTATGAAAGAATATTACGCATGAAAAAAGACCATTATATCATATGACCCTTGTGAGTCATGAATTAATAACAGCCCACAAATCCCCTAAAAGAGGTCTATGTGGCTGTCATCCTTTTTCCATTCTGAGAGTCCGGCCCCCTGCAGGAGCACCATAAAGCCACAAATGGCCTTTGAGGGTGACTGCAACAATAGGTACCATTCGCCATCTCTACAGAGTGTCAAGAGGGTGTAGAAAGGTCGGTCAAGGGCTCCTACTCATTCAGGAATCCAGCTTTAGACCACTATCCATTATAGAGGACAGACAAAGACTGAACTGTGTCAATTACCATCCACAAGTGCAGCAACTTCCCCATTAATGGTCACACCTCAATATTATTTTAAAATTAATTATGGTGGAACAAATTTAATGCATTTAAAGCCTTTAATGTCTAGTTATACTTGTGAAACAAGTGAATGATCACCCATTTAGAGTATTACGTTGATGGGAATCCTTGCATATTGCCACAAATCAGAATTTTTGGGTTTTTTTTTAATTCTTATTCTTGGAATGTGGTTCCCTCAGTCAGTACTGATGGTGAGATGAATATGACGAGTGCTCCAGTCTGGCTTTGTTGTGTGTGTGGTCCTGCCCGGTCCTCCCCAGAACCTCTTTCCTTTCTCATGCTAAATTCCCCCTGCCCACGCTAACCCCCCTTCCCCCCGTCAGCAGGACAAGCGGCCCGGCCCATTGTCCGGCCTGGTCCTGACCTCGCTGCATTCTCCAGGTGGCTCACCAGAAAACCCGCAGGAACAGCTCAACCGAGCCGTCGAGGAAACAAGAAATCGTCGTCTGGGTGCCCGTACTGATTTCAGGAGACTTGATAGCTTTTCAGGTAATACACAGAAAATCTGAGGATCATAAATCAGTCAGTGATTTTTCAAAAGATTTTGATGTGTGATGCACACACCTGAATTGCTGTAGCAGTTTTAGCATGCCGTGCAAAGCTTCTGATTTCACATTTCTAGCACCCTGATCCTGTGCGCAGTGCTGGGAGGACTGATCTACATGTAATTAAACAGAGGTGGAAAGTTCAGGTTGAAGTGCAAATCCATCCATCCACCCATCCATCTTCTACCTGTTATGAAACGTGGGGGCACGGACCTGGGAGTCAGGTGCAGGAGTCAGGAAGTCGGGTAAACACGAGATTTAATAGCGGACAAACACACTCAGAACACAACAAATGTTAATGACCGGACGGGGAAACATATTCGAATGCGGACTTAAATATACAGGACTAATTAACAACAAGTAGACACAGCTGAGAACACCGGGATTCCAACACGAGGTAAATTAGGGGGTGTGACACACGGGAGGATCGGACGAGCAGGGCATGACACTACCACTTTTCCAGGTCGGAAAATAAAAACCATCCCTTTCCTTTTATGGTTTTTAAATTTAAACTATACAAAAAAATGGCAAAAAGGTAGTTTAACTATTTCAGTCACTATGCAAAAACTCTTGTAGCAGAACTACCAGCAAGCTACTACAACATGTAGTTAAATTACTTGTTACAGTGGTTGAAAGTTCAGGTTGAAGAAGTACAAATCCAGACCAAGATTTTGTTTCAACCATCCAGTTGAGTATAAAGAGTCACATTCACAGAGTTCACAACTGGTGATGATCAATGGGACTGTTGCCTTTTCCCGAGCAGAACTGTAGCATTTATGGTGCTCCATTTATTGCATGCAGATCTTTAGACCGATTTCCAAAATTCATCCATCCAACCATTTTTTGAAACCTGATGAACTGCTGGCTACTTAGACAAGCTTTTCCATCACAGATGATCACACTCGCATCCAGACAGAAAGAAGCACACTCACGTGCTGAAGGAGAGGAGCACGCTCACATCCCAATGAAGACTGAAAAAATGTTAAAATAGTATGTTTTCATCAGATTGTGTATGATGTATATGGTGTTGCTGTTTTTCCATTGCTAAGGGATGGATGCTGTATCCCATACTCTTTGAATGATCTTGCATAGTTGCTTTGTCAAGAGGTACCTCCTTGCTTTAGTATTTCTGCAGGCAGTCCCTCTGGTCCAAAAGCCTTGTTGTTTTACCAATGTCCAGTTGCTGAAAGGACTGCTGGAAATTGAGGGTTCATCAATCTGGATAACTGACAGTAGACTTGGGAGACCCTCAGGTATTGATGGATTGGAGGGCCTCTTTTAACTGAAATGTTTTGTCCATCACTCCATTATTTGTTGCCTGCCCTTTAGTAGTAGTTGTCCATCAGCCGACTTCACAGGTGTGCTTTTTTGGGCCATAAAGTAATTTTCTTGCTGAAAAAGTGGCCTGTGTATTAGCAGTGTCTGCATATGTGTGAATTTCAGTGCCGTTTTAAAGTCACCACTCATTCCCGATAAGTCTGAGTTATCTTTGTGTCTCTGCTCTAGTACTTTTCCATAAAGAGAAAATCTCCTGGGGGTAAGAGTTGGAGAGAGGAGCTGCATGGGTTGTATGCTTGTATGCACCCTGTAGACCAGGGTTCTTCAACTCTGGACCTCGATTCCAAATCCAGGCCGTCTTTTCAGTTCTCCCAGGTAGTTGTTTAATAGTTACTGATTCTGATTGGTCAGATGCTTCACACCTGACTGACAGGTAAAGGAAGGCTGGAAAACCAGCAGTGCTCGGACCTCGAGGACAGTGAGTTGAATAACCTTGCTGTAGACTACCTCAGAGATCCATTCCAGGACCTCCCCAGGGCCCCTCCAGTGGCTGTCGAGCTTGGGTGACCACCCCTTCTTCCAGATGGGGCAGTACACCCGAACAGGGTCCCCGGGCTGGAAGGCCTGTCCTCAGCAGCGAACATCATATGCCCTCTTCTGCCTGGCCGTGGCTGCACCTTGATGGTCCCTGGCCAGCTCATGCACAACGCGAACGCGCTCCCACAGTGGCGTAGGTAGTCCATTCCCGGTGTCGCCGGCAGCTCTGACTCAGGGTGGGAGCCGAACACCTGCTCCTCCGGGGTCCGCAGCTAACGGCCAAACATGAGGGCGGCAGGGGTACAGCTGGTGCTCTCCACCAGCCTGTCACTGGAGGCGTGGTGAAGGGGCGTGGTGAAGGGGCGAGGTGAAGGGGCGTGGTGAAGGGGCGTGGTGAAGGGGCGAGGTGAAGGGGCGTGGTGAAGGGGCGTGGTGCGGGTTTTCACAATCCCTTGCCGCCGGCAAACCTTGCGGAACACCTGTGCCTCAAAGTTCCTCCCCTGGTCACTGTGCAGCTCCTTGGGGGCCGGGAACCTGCAAAAGAACTCCGAGGAGTTTAGTAGCGGTGTTGGTGGTGCTCTGGTCGGGAACTGCATACGCCTCGGGCCACTTCGTAAAGTAGTCCACGGCCACGAGTACGTAGCGGTTCCTGGACTATGTTCGGGGGAAGGGGCCCAGGATGCCCACCCCCAGGCACTCCATGGGGGCACCCACCAGGTATGGCTGCAGGGGAGCC